GTAGAGCCCGTGAGTGTAGGCGTGCCCACGGAACGCTGCCTATGTATGAGATCATTTTGCCCAAAAGTTTGGACAACAGCGACAGGGAGACAGTGTGTTGACATTGGACCTGTCGAATGATCTCGATAAGACTCTGCCCTCGGGCTGAAGACAGAAAAACTTGGCACAGAGTTGTGTCGATGATGGCTCCCAGATGGAAAAATCTGGTTGTTGGGAAGAGATGGCTTTTCTTGGAGTTGATGGAAAAACCATGGTACTGGAGGCAATGGAGAGTGGTTTGAAGATCTTGATGGGCAGAGAGGGTGGAGGATGACAGGATCAAGATGTCATCCAAGTAACACTGGATCCTCACTGGAACAGACCGGAGCAAAGCCACCAATGTCACCAGTAACTTTGTGAAGACTCTTGGGGCAGACGAGAGCCCAAAAGGAAGGGCCTGATACTGGAAGTGGAAATTCTGGTAACGGAAGCGGAAAAACTGGCGATGATGAGACCAGATGGGAATGTGGAGGTAAGCCTCCGTGGAATCAATGGAGCAGAGGAGATCACCCTCCTGAACGCTCTTCAGAATAGAATGCAGAGTCTGCATTTTGAAGCACCTATATGGGATAAACTCATTCAGAAATTTTAGGTCGAGAATGGCTCACCACCACCCCGAAGCATTAGGGACCACGAAAAGCCAAAAATAAAGCCCACGTCCACGTTGTAATTCAGGGACTGGTTGAACGGCCCTTATATCAACCAGGTGACTAATGGCCGATTCCATAAGTGCCTTCGTAAACTGTCCCGGGAAACGGAGCAGAGTGGAAATTTTTCTGGGGGTGGTGATAGAAATTCTAATTTTAACCCCAACCTTACCGTATGGAGTACCCAGGCGTCTGTCATTGACTCCTCCCATCTGGAAGCAAAGGAGGTCAAACAACTTCCAATGGGAGGGGGGAACAAGAGATTATTTAGAGCGATGGAAGGAGCAACCCCCTCCCCCACGAAAGGGCCATTTACCCACAGCTTGTTGTCTGCCGATAGCCTCATGGCATTGATCTTGATGCTGAGAATACACTCTCTGAGGTCTGGAAAAGCGACAAGCGTTTTCAGGCCTGAATGAGGGAGGCTGGTATGGGATATGCTCTCTTTCCTGTTGATGAAAGGACTTTCCTTTTGTCTTTTGTTTCAACAACAAATGGGTCAAGGGCATCACCAAACAGCTTCTCACTGGTACTTGGGGCAGAAGCTAGTTTCCACTTTCGTCGAGGCTCTGCTTGTCAATTTCGTAGCCATAGCAGTCTCCTAACTGCTACTGATGACGCCGTGGCCCTGGAAAAGAACTTGGCGGCGTTGAGGGTGGCATCCACTGAGAACTCTGCTGCTGCTATGATCTTATTGAGGTCTTGATGCAACCTACATCATACCTCTGATGGAGGTATGCTGCCTTGAAGTTGGCGTAGCCAGCGGATGGAAGACCTTGTAAAAAAATGATGTAGCAGTCGAGGCCCGGATGGCCCAAGCTTCAGTGTTTGTTCGGAGCATTTGTCCTCTGCCTTTAGTACGTCCTCAGGAGTGCTTGAGGAGAAGGAGGCCACAACTGGGGCGTCTACTGGGGGAATTGCCAGAGCTGTAGCTAAGGAAGGACCCATGTTGTAGAACCACCTATCTTGGGACGATGGTCAGGGGCCTGCAGTGGGGAAGGCAAATTGTTCCTTGACTAAGTCAAGAAAGATGATGGGGGAAGGAAGGACCTCCGAATGAACAATGGGTTTGGAGAAGGGGAATCCCCATGCCCCGATTGTACCACTTGAGGCTCGGGGGCAATTTCCTCTGCTGACAACTGGGCTGTTACCAATGCCTTGTGTAGGAGAGGTTTGAATAAAGCAGATTTGAATACAGAAGCCAAAGGAGGCTGATCAGGCCTCAGATTTTCCTTTTCCTCCGAGAGGTTGGGGTCCCAGATTTCTCCCTTTTCTAGATCAGAATCAGGGGAGGGGCTGCGCTCAGATGATTCCTCATACTCTCCCTGAGTGAGATCTACTCCTTCCGCATAGGTAAGATGGGCCCTTTATTCTACACGGTGAGGTAGTCCCCTTTGGGAACCTGAGCTAGAGGAAAAGCCGGGAAGGAAGGCTGAGGTCTGTCTGAAGGCCTGAAGATGTGTTGGAGCCATTCTGTCAGACCCTGTTTGATGGCTAAGGAGACTACTTTGTTGATGTCAGAAGATCTGCCACTTGATGGAGGATCCGGGGGCCGAAGACATGCTGCTGTTGAAGTAAAAGTGGCCTCTGGTCTTGATTGAGAGATGCTTTGGGCCACAGATGGGATAAATGAAAAAGAAAGATCCCAAGGAGTCTGGGCAAAATTGGGACCTGACCTGCTCAAGTCTTGAGGTCCTGGTTGGATTTCAGGTCGCCCTGGGGACCAGGATTGGAGGCGGCTAAGAGGAGCTGAGGTATCTTCCCTCTCCCTAGAAGTAGCTGGCTGAACAACTAGAGTAGTGGTTCCAAACCTTTTTTTCACCCCGCACCCCTAAAGAAATTTCACTCGAACCTCGCACCCCCTGAAATTTAGACTTTAGGAACTGCTGAACGTGTTAAATATATGGTAGGATTGAATCTTTTCAGCTATGTATGTGACGGCCACTAAATAACGATACTTAACTCTAAAATGAAAACAAAGTTAATCCATTGCATAATAAATAAATAAATAAATTAAATAAAAAAATAAAAATTACCTGGACTTTTCTCGCACCCCCTGGAATATCATCTTGCACCCCCAGGGGATGCGAGCACCCCAGGTTGGAAACCCCTGAACTAGAGGATTGGCTGGTTGGGAAGCCTGTTGTACTTGACCCCTCATTTGTTCAATAGTTTTGTTGAACTGCCTTTCTAAGGCTGCATGTCTTCGTTTCTCTGGCTTTAATTCGGCCTGGGATGTTTTCTTAGGGCACAAAGCTTTGGCCTTATTCTTGGCTGCCACCTCCCTTTGAACAGACTGGGAGTGTTGTCTCGTTCTCTTTCTTTTGCCAGCTTGGGGGCCTTGAAAGATCAGGCCTAAAGGCTCTGTGTGGACCTTGTCTGCCAATGACGAATATAGCTTTTGCTTTTGCTGCTAACTAAACTGCTTTCAGAGACACCAGCTTATGGTCATCGAAAGAAGCTGAGTCAAAGCTCAGCCTCCCAGAGGTTGCTACTTTTATACTAGACAGACACAGCTTGATGATGTCATCAGGAGGAGTCATACCCATCCCGGGCTCTCGCAGCAGCATGGAGGAGAAAAATGGGAATCCCAGAACCATTTGATGGTCTGATAAGAAATTTACAGGTCTCAGGAAGCCACAGTACTAATAGAAAGAACATTGCAAAGTAGAAAGGCTCCCAGTTTGCACATGCATATGAAGACTATTAAAAATTGTTTACATAAGATCATACAGAAACAACAAAATAAATGATGATATTACAAATACTTGCATGAAGTCTTTAAAAGCCAGGACAAAAACTTGGTAACAGTATGTTTTTTTTAAATGATATTTGTTTGTTAAACAAATAACTTTTATTATAGAACTGTATTTAAATTCTGTTACTTTTTTTTAGAATTGGTCGGTTACAAGGTAACAGGATAGATGAATCCATCAAGATCGGTGCTATTGTAATGAATATTTAACATTCCAATTATTTTTTATGATGATGATGAATACTTTGAAAATGATAAGCTGCTGAAAATAAAACATTAGTCTATACCATATGGGAAGTAATATGTTTAATTAAAATTATATTAAGGAAAAACATTGGAAAAAAAATTGCCTGAACTCACCATCTCTTTTGGAGATTATATATTCAGAATTTTTTTAAAAAAATTCAACTCTCTCATCAACATATCTAACTTCACCAAAAGAAAACATTTGTAACTAAAAGTACAGGTACTTCAAAAATATAGCTAGAAAAGATCTCAAGTTTTTTTAAAGAAATCAAAATGATTATATATCCCCTGCCATGCAAATGTGTCTTCAAGCAGTATAGAGAATTAAAAATGCACTAGAATCTAACTACGTACAATACAGGTAGAGCATACTTAATGACTGCTCTGTTTAGTGACTTTCTGAAGGTATGACAGCACTGAAAAGGTAACTATGATCAGTCCTTATAACTTTATATTTATATATCACATTTAAAAACTTAACTTCGCTCCTGCATTTTGTTTTAGCTGTAGCTTCCAGACCACAATAATAGCTATCCCAAAGGGAACACAATGAATCCATCAAGATACCAGGTTATCAACCTATTTGCCACAGCTATTTCTGTCCATGGTGACATTCTTGGTACTGCAGCCACTTTGTCACTCATGATTCTAATGTTTTATAAATCCCATTCTTCCCACAAAACTCTGTACATTCTAGTAAATTTAATCTTAATTTTAATTGTTGTTGGGTTTTTTTTAGTAAAATCTGAGGTGCCTTTTCAGATGCATTTAAGAAAGTAATCTGACATAATTTAAAGGAGAGAGATTAAAATATAATTGTACTCATAGTTGCTATGAAGAATATAAGAAGCCATTTCTTTCTCTTTTTTCTTTCTTTTCTATTTTTCTTTAACATTTTTCCTCTCTGCACTCTTGACTTTGTTTCTTTTTCCCTTTTCTTCTTTATATTTAGCTTGTATTACTTTTTAATCTTATTTTTGTAAAGTTTCAATAAAAATCATATAAAAAAGAATCAACACTCAGAGTACCTCTCACTATTTTAAAATTGCAGAAACTGTTTTATATCACAGATAAACACCTAAGGATTCTAAATATAATCTGTGTATGAATGCATGTATATAAACTTATGCAAGGCTACTGAAACTGCCGCAAGAGCAGGCTTTTTGTCAGTAAAACCTCATGTTGCTGTTTGTGTGCAATGTTTCAGCTCGCTCTCCCTTGCAGCCCACAGTATTCTCTCAGCATCTGATATGGTTCGTGAAGCAGAATCAGTAATATCTAAAACAGCATTAGAACAAGACAGTTTGATGTACCTTGGAATTAGAAGTTGATTCCAAGAAGCAGAGCCTGTTGCCAAATCCTTCTGCAGCAAGACACAATTTCTGTTGTTCCTTGTAAACAGTAGCAGTACACTGCAGAACCACTTCATCATCCTATTAAAAACAAAAAAGAGAGAAGGAATGACAATAAGTTTAAGTCTTTTAGATTGCAGATCTTTGGGATGTATTTCCAAATGAAGTCAAAATTAATTCTAAGACAGTTATTTATTTATTTCACTGGCATAAGCCATCACTGAATGAGAAGGACAACCACATACCATCAGAGCAGGACAACCACATACGATGTCCACAATTAAATCAGAAAAAGACTTTTCCAACTGGAAATATTTTGATTTAGTGATTTATATACAGCACAAATAAAAATAAGTATTTAAAAACTTATCTTTCTAAGTGATTTCAAGAAAACATGTAATGAAAGGTTACCACTTTGCATTCGTATTTTTGAAATATTTGTATGGCAACCTCATTTCAAGAATTTAAGATAACATTTTAATCTCAAATATAATCTTATTACTAGATGCAGCAATTAAGATTATTGCTAAGCTAAATATGGCTATTTAAGGATGACCCATGATTTTTATTAGTCAACGATGACTCAAAGGAACCAAAATCACAAACACATTCTTAATTAATTAATATGCCACCCATCTCACTGTTTAGCACTAAAGCAATGCCTGGCACTAAAGGAGTATCAAGCATCTGAAATGTGATCACATGATCATGGGGATGGTACAGCAGTTGTAACTTCAAGGACAGATTGTAAATAACTATTTTCAAGTCTGTTGTATCTTTAAATGGTTGTTAGGTTTTGTAATTTGAGAAATTCCTATACACACTCTAGTCCCACTGTATTCAATTTCTTTTTACATATCCAACCCTCATTTCCATACAATATAAGTAGCCCTCAACTTATGACCAAAATTGAACCCAAAATTTGTGTTGCTATGCAAGACATTTGTTAAGTGAGTTTTGCCCCATTTTATGACCTTTCTTGTCACAGTTAAGTGAATCACTGCAATTGTTAAGTTAGGAACAGGGTTGTTCAGCGAGTTTGGTTTACCCATTGACCTTGCTTGTCAGGAAGTTGCAAAAGATTATCACATAACCACGGGACACTGCAAGTGTCATAACTATGAGTCAGTTGCCAAGCATCTGAATTTAGATCAGATCATGTGACCATGGGGATGCTGTAATGGTCAGAAGTGTGAAAAATGGTTGTAAGTCACTTTTTCCAGTGATGTTGTAACTCTAAACAGTCAGTATGTGAAATGTTGTAAGTCAAGGACTACCTATAGTCGCACAAGTGTGCTCTCACGTAGCCATTTTTACTCTTTTTGCCATTCTTTGTTTACAAAGACAATATACTATCCACTTTCTATCAGTATTTGAATGTCTTAAAATTTCTGTATCTAAATTCCCAACTTTAGTAAATATTCAACGAGGGTGATTACATTCATCTGTTTGCTCTAATACTTCACTATTTATTTCAGCCATGGTAGCACAGTGGTTAGAATGCAATACTGCAAGCTACTTCTGCTGTTCAATTTTCACGCACTCAAGGTTGACTCAACCTTCCATCCTTCTGAAGTGGGTAAAATGAGGATCCAGACAGTTGGGGACAATATGCTGACTCTGTAAACTGCTTAGAGAGGACTGTGAAGCACTGTGAAATAGTATACATAGGTAAGTCTAACTGCTATTGCTATGCATTTCTTCCAACGGTTCAGTCTATTTTCCCTGAGAAATATAACTACCTTTGTTCTTTGATAAAGTTTCAGACCGTGATTCCTGGTTGCATCATGCAATCTATTCAGTGCAAATCATCTCAGCCAACAAAACAGCATAATCTGCATCCAAAGTACATATGTGTTCACATTCCTGTCCAACATGTTTAACCTCAGAGCAAGCATTGTGATTTATTTATCTATAAAAACTACAAAAGGAACATAAACAACTTCTTGTCTTCTTCCTGCCTAAATACCAAACCAGTCACTAGCATCCATATATTGCTACTTGCACTTAGATTCTAATCTAGGCTATATTACTCTTATTTCATTCAGCAGCCAACCTGCAATTTCATATTCACATAAAACGATCCATAACTGGACATCATACACTTTTTTCTACATCAGTAAAGAAGGAATAAACTTTCTTGCACTCTCATACTGATCTACTTGTCCACTTCTTCCTAACATAAAACTACAGTACACTTCAGAAATTTTGCTTAGTGTCATTTCTTGGACTCTTTCCAAGACTTCTACCAAGCACCTTTTCAAAGAGTAAAATCCCCTGTAACATATGTATTCCTGGTTACTTTTCCTTGATCAAAAGCACATGGCCATCATCATCTTCACAAATGGAATACCAAATAGCATTTAATCGAAAAATGTCTAAGATTTGTATCTTTTAATTACAGGCCAAATCATCTCTACCTTAATATTTAATAACAATCTGCAGTTTAAGAATATTATCATTGCTGTGATAACACCAAAGCTGTCCTAAACTTTAGGTAAGAGTATTCCAATCTGGAATGCAAATTGAAATGCAGCTGCAACCATGTGATGGAAGCCATGTCCTTTCTAAAATGTGAGCAAAAAGAATTAAGGCTTCAATCTTATTATGCCCATCATCTTGACTTTTTCTACCCTTTCTCTACAGACATCCACAGCTTTTACTTAGGTGTCCTGCAACAAAATATTATGAATTCAACTACAGTAGTGAATATTTTAGTTGTTTTCAGCTTTGCTAGCTAACACAAGGAATTGAAATGCTGTGGCTGGATGCGTGTGATTGTCAATCTTTCCCATCATTAAGAATCTACCCTTTAAAAGAAAGTCTTAGAGGACAAATCCCTCATTAAAAGGTCTCATGTTGATGTTTTAATTTATTTGAAATCCGTACAGCCCAGCTAAAGAAACCATTTGAAGAATCTACCAATTAGAGTTCCTTATGAAGGAAATTAAAATAAAGGAATAGTAAAGTTAAAGGAATAGCAAACTATATATGTTTTTCTCAGAGCCAGGAGAGACCTGGAATACACAAATCTTCCTTCATATCAAAACACATCTGGAAAGAATAAGGAGTAGGATTGAAGTGAAAATTCATTTTGGGCAAAAATAATTTTAGATTCAATGTTTCTAGAATGAAATTTAACAGTACACCTTTTAATACTCTGCAAATCAAACACAATGAAATAGCATTATTTTAGAACTATGAAAAAATAGAAAATGCATGCATTTTTAAATGTTAAAACAGTTCAATGTATAAAAAATAGCTATCAGGATATGAAAGGAGGCAGCAAATAAATTTTGTTCTTTCCTTGGCAACTGATACGTTAACAGCATACTAACATAATCAAATGAAAAATTCTATTACAAATCATAATGTTCTCTGGTAACTCATAAATTATGCATTTTACTTCAATACAGACTTAAAACATTTTCTAGTGGTATTTTTTGCTATGCCATTTTACAAAAAGAACAAGCTGAATACTGTCTGCTGTTCTCTGCCAAATCACAATTCAATCTTTTGCTTTGGAAAATATGTCCACTAATGAAGTGTTACTAGTTGCACCTCACTGGGCCCTTTCACGTACAAAAAAAAATTATCCACCAAATGAAACCAATTCCCATTAGGTTGCTCTGCTTCTGGAGCAAATATGTGTGATGCAAGAGACATGAAGGAAAGTCTAATAACTTGTTTCCTTTATCATCACTTGGTGTAGGGGAATTTCTTTTTCAAAAACAAAAAACGGAGCGCAATACAGGTGAATTAAGAATACTCCAGCAACCCCAATAGCCTATATTGCATTATTCTTTTTGTTTTGACCTATTTATATATCCTCTACAGAAACCCCTAAATCACAGGTAATACAATTTTTATAAAGCACTGTTACTTTGGGTAGAATATTTTACAATTTGGAAGTGAGATACAATGGATTTCTGTTCATACAAGATGGCGGATAATGATCCTGGTTCTTTGTGGAATACCCAACTTAGGGGTTTTAGAAAGACTGTTGTTAAGATTCCTTATGCTTGAGACATATATATTATTCATTTCCTCATTTTGAGTAAAAGTATAGATATTCAAGTCTATGGTAATCTACTGATATTCATTAGTATCAATATGCCTGCGTATGTTCCAAGCCCCATCTCACTTTTGGGTGGGAGTATATTAATTGAACATACCTACCATGCAGCCATTGTAATAATTAGCAATCCTACCCATGATAACCATAGTACTTAATATATGGTCTCAAAATTCTAGAATTTTGGGAGGAAGGAACTGATGAGCAATTCTACTCTTGGGGAGTTACTTATATAAAACAAAATAAAACATTGGGATACACAAATGCTTGGTAATGGCCAAGGTTTTACAAGAAAACCCAATTTTTTTGTGTTGTTTTCTGGTGGTGGTATAAATCTATCGCCATTGATCTGTAAGCACCTCATGACTTATTGACTACAAGGTAATAGTGGGATACAGATAGAAAGTAAAGGATTTACTCTAAATTCCCTCGCTATTTTGCCTGCTCTTTGTTAAGAGATTACTAATCTGAGGTCAAATTCCTTGTGTGTCCAATCACACTTGGCTAATAAAGAATATTCTGTTCTGTTCTACTCTTTCTTCTCAGGCATAACATACGGAGGATGTTGGAGGGTCAGGATAGAAGCTATTACAATTAGAATAGGATAGGATAGGGAAAGGGGAGGGGGAAAAGAAAATAGAATAGGGTAGGGTAGAGTAGAGTAGAGTAGAGTAGAGTAGAGTAGAGTAGAGTAGAGTAGAGTAGAGTAGAGTAGAGTAGAGTAGAGTAGATTATTTACAAATCAGTATTTATGTAAAAGAATGCGAAATATAAGAGATCGACCTATTTAATTTTCTTCCTTCTCAAGTCTCTTTCCCTCATTTTTCACTTATACAGTACTTTATTATGGCTTCTTCTTTCCTCCTTATCTCAATTATTGATACTGGAATGTCTGAGTTTTCTCCTGGCTGTCTTGCTGCCTAACAAAGCTTTTAACACAGAAAGTTCTTCTGTCCAGTATTTGAATCTCCTTACACAACATAGTCTGTCCTCCTGGTTTTTTTCCACATTTTCACAAGCCACTCCTGGATTTTCCTCCCGGTTTTTCTCCTAATCCAAGAGCCATTTCTCTGGGCCGTTTCTCCACTTCACTCGATATTAACCAGATGACATCCCCTCAGGCAGTGTATCTTGCAGCATCTGAAATATAGCGTGCTTCTCCCTTTCTCTGTTTACTCTTTTTATATGGTATATCTAAATCATGTACATGTCACTTTACAGGTGCCTTCTAGCATTTCTCCCCCTTTCTATCTATGTGTTCTTAGTCATATGCTGAGTCATCTGTCTTCCCAAAAAATAAATCTAAGACATCTAGTACAGACCCAGACACTTTTCTTCGGGCAGGCATTTCACTCTGCTTTTTGATAGTAGGATGCAGTTATCTAGGTGCTAAACATGTATTTGTAGTCTGCTGAAACAAGGTAAAAAAACAAAACTTATTCAAATTCTCCCTCTTTCTTTAATGTACACTACTGAAATGCCTGCTACAAGGTAAAAAAGCTTGCAAAACTATCCAAGCTTTGACTTTTCACTGATTTCAAGTTTCAGCTACCAGATTTGGAACAGTAGGGGAAGAACCAGAGCTTCCTATGGTAAAACTGAAGCACATAGAGTCCTTGCCTGATGATGTTAATTGGGTCTGGCAACTCCATTGTTAAGCTATGCAATTGTAAAGCATGAAGTCACGTGACTGTGCCAATTTACAATGGCAATTGGAATAGCCCTAGTTGCTATTATTAGATGAATCCATGCAGTTGCAACAACCAACAGTGACTGCATCCTATGACCATTTGCAACCTCCTGTCAGCTTTCCCATAAACTTTGCTTGTCAGAAGCTAGCAATGAAGGTTGAAAATGGTGATCATGTGACCCTGAGACACTGATATTGCAATAGTGAGTCAGTTGCCAAGCGCCGTAATTGTGTTCACATGACTGTAGGAAAGCTTGAACAGCCACAACAAGGGCACATCATAAGTACCTCTCATTTAGAACTACTGTAACTTTGAATGGTCAATGAATGAGTGGGCGCTCAATGAGTATTACCTGGGTTATTATTGTGACCCGCCAGCTGCCAGCAGACCTGGCGGTAGACTCGAATGATGAGGAGGTTGGGGAGGAATTTGGGCCAGTACTTGAGTCTGGGGAAGGCTCTGATGGATGTTCTGCATTGGATGCAGAGATAGAGCCAGGGCCATCCAACATTTTCTAGCCACCGGAGAGACAGCTGCCTTTGGAGGCTGATATGAGTGAGGAAGAAGAACAGCTGGGGCCTGTTCCAGATGTATATATGCGCAGAGCAGTTAGAAGAGGTGAGCAATGGAGGACAAGGAGTCGATATGGGAAGCAAAGCACACGTGGACACTGAATGGCCCCTCCCTGGCTGGGGAATAAATAGAAGGAAAGGGGA